GCCTCTATTGTCTAAATCTTGTTTAATTTATTAATAGCTTTGTTTGTTTTATAAAAGCTTTCATTAAAGAATGCAGTTTGAGCTTTAGATGTTAATCCAAATAGTCATTTCAGCCCCCTTGGTGGGCAGAATCTTCTCAAATCTTAAATGTTTTTAAGCCATCCATCAAACACTAAGTAAATCTTGCTTCAACTAAATCAATAAAAACAGGAAAAAAAAAAAAACCAGTTCAACTCATGTGACATTGTGACTTATAAATTTGATGCAAAAAAAAAAAAACTTCTAAATTTCTATGCTGAAAACAAAATAAAGTCATTTATAATAGAGACAGAGAGTGGTGCCAGTGCATAAGTTTTGGTCAATCTCTTAAAAATAAGAGGCTCGTCAAAAGGGGGAAATTGTTAAAGAATATCAAAAAAGCCCCCCTACTTCTGCTTGGTTTTGGTAAACAAACTGTGACCTCATGTTTTTTCCTGTTTTGCTAGGTTCTAACACCTAGGTGACTACAACACCTAGGCTCCTGTCAATCACAGGAATCCCACCTTTTAATCTGTGTTAATGCAGACAACTTCAAAATATAACCAACCTAAATTGTTTCCCTTCACTTTTGTTTTTCTACATCATGTTCCTGTTTCTGTACATGTCACTCTCCTTTTCTAGAACTTAAATACTAAGTTGACCGTGAGCCTAGCTGGAATTGTCCAAAAGTTCAGAGACAACTGCCCAATTTAAATCATGTTAGATTTGCTCAAGTAATACTCTATTAAATTGGTTCTTTATTTTTCTTTTAACAATATATTATAGAATTTACTATCTGGGCCAGCCAGTGGCATGGTGGTTAAGGCAACTGGATCCCACATGGCTAAGTGGTTTGAGTCCTGGAACCAGTGGCTTGAAAAACACACTGGGTGCATGTGTGTGCATGCCCAAAATCCCAAGAGGAGAATGGAGGAGAAGGTATTGCAGCTTGGTCATCTTTCCCTCTCTTTGTTTCTCTCTTGCAAGCCCACATGCCCTGTAGCAAATTAAATTAAGGACAACAACAGAAAGAATTTACCATCTAGAATACTCATGCAGGAGAAAAACAACCAAAGAATTGTTTGCACAAGACTTTATTCAGAATGTTAAGCATGAGAAGTTCAGAAGAAACCTTCTAACTTGGGGAAGGAGGGTGGAATGTTCAAGCTTTTAGCAAGAGAGCTCACACAGAGTTCAATTACTTTCAGAAATCATTGATTAAAGATTATTGTCAGAGAGGGAGGAATTGTTCTTTCAGATTAGCAACCACTGTTTGGTCAATTTGGATTTCATCAAAAAAGAATGAGATAGGCTGACCCCATGGCATAGTGTTTAAGGGAGCAAAATCTCACATGGCTATGGTTCAAGTCCCTGTCTCAGCAGCTTGAAAAACATGCTGAGAGTGTGTGGTCTGGTATGTGTGTGGTGGGTTAGTGCTGTGTAGTGTCCCAAATCCCAGCAGGATGGAGAAATGGCAAGCAGAGATTCCAGCATGACCATGGCCTATTGTGGGGTGCTTCTCTCCCCCTTCTCCAGCAAGCACACTTGCCCTCTGTCAATTAAAAAAGAAGAAGAAGAAGAAGAAAAGAAAGAGAGGAACAGTTAGGAACTAATTCATATTGCAAGAGGAAGTGGGAGGAGCAGGGGTGGAGAGGCACTGTGGCAAGGGCCATAAGGGAATGTTTTCATTCTTTTACCTCTCACAAGTAAACTCCCAGCTCTTGAGATATATAGAGAGAAGCAATATATATCATATATATATATATAGAGAGAGAGAGCTATATACATACACACACACACACACACACACACACACAAGTAGACTGCCAGTTCTTGAGATATTATAGACAGTGACATACGATATATATGATATATATATAATGTATATAGCTATATACACACACACATCTCTACATATAGACATATAGAGATGGCTATATATGATATATATAGAATATAGATATCTCTCTCTCTATATATATATATATATCAATACACACACACACATACACACACATGCATGTTTATATTTTGTCTCCTTGGTTATGCTTTAAGCTTACCTAGGACATAGATTGCCTATGATCCCTTATGTCTTCTTTAATGCTTTGCATCAGATAATAAATATTTGTAGATAGATTTGAAAGTTCTTGCAACATATGCCCAATTTTATACCTCTGGCCACATGATATCCAGGATTTGTAGACTTTGACATGGTGAAATTTATTGCCTCTTCCAATTACTCTTCTTTGACTCATTCACCAAAAACATCTACTAGGTATACCTATTAGCAGTGGAAGATTTTTCCTGGCTGTCACTGAAGCTAAAGACAAGAACCCTGTGCTGGCTTCAGCAGCACATATACTAAAATTGGAACAATACAGAGATTAGCATGGCCCCTGCGCAAGGATGACATGCAAATTCGTGAAGCATTCCATATTTTTAAAATAATAGAAAAGTAGATTTGTAAGTTAGGCCTAACATTTTTGTTTATATAGTTTTAAACTGAAAAGGCATGTCAAATGTTTCATGTGTTGTACAAATAGGTATTGTTTTATTCTTAGTATGTAGTGTTGTAAAGATAGGTGTTTTCTCAAGCTAAACATAAGTACAATAAAAGTGCTTTGTCATTGTGGACAGGACAAGTGAAGGCATTCCAAATGTTAATCTGACAAAACTGGAGCAAGCAGCTGGTATTTATTTACCTTATTCCTTTTTTTTTTTTTTGGAGAGGTATTTGCTATAAGGCGTGTGCGGTCTCCAGAAAGACAGAGACAGAAAGTGAGAAATCACACCCCAGGGGGATGGCCATGCCGCAATCCCTTCTTCTCCATTCTCCTCTCGGGATCTTGGGCACGTATGCACATGCGCCCAGCGTGAGTTTAAGCCACTGGGTCTGGGACTCGAACCACGGTCGGCTCCATGGGAATTCAGCAACATAGCCATTACGAAAGCTGCTGGTCCCAACCTTATTCCTAATTATAGAGGGGGAAGAAGCAAGGTTGTCCATAATGTTAACACCAATAGTATAAAACAGTTGGACAGAAGATGGACAAAACCTTGGTTATGTACATGTTACACAGAGAAAAAGCATACTTGCTGTGTCATTTAATAGTTCATACAAATAAATTTGATGTTGAGATATGTCTTAACAAAAATAGAATATGTACATCCACTTTTTTGGATTAGAGAAGAAGTGGTGAAAACAGTGTAGCTAAATAAAAACATTAAGGATACATAAAGTAGATTGAAAGAGGGACAGATGAGTTACACTCCCATACTGGTTGAGTATCCCTATTAAAAAAAATCATATTGGTTCAGAAACCAGTCTATAACCTACGATACTCTTATTTATATAAAACAAAAGCATTTAAAGATAATGAAACTGTAAGTTATAGAAATAGAGTGCAACTTTTTTATTAGCATCCACACATATAACAAGCTGTTTTGCACTTATAAAACAGAAAATACAGATATAACACTTAGAAGCTATGTAGTAAGTAGCATAGCATTCACATGAAAAGTAAATGTTCCTTATCTTGATGTGGTTGGTAGTTTTACTGATGTAAAAGGTACACGAATATTTTAAAAATTGTGCATTTAAGATTCATATTTCATATACCCAAAATTCATAGAGTAATCTTTCGGTTTAAAATAATACATATAGCAAAAACTATTGGACTCTGACTTCAACACTTACAATCTTTGATAAGTAGATGGAAAGTTACAAGATAGGTAAGATAGTTAAGAATTTGTGTGTGTGATTAATATATAATGCTTTGTGACCTTATTTGCATTGTTTTCAAATTCTGAAATATTTCTAAATGATTGTTTACTAGGATGCAGGGATAACTTTATTGTATTTCTAAAAATCATAAATGACCATATTACTAAAAAGCCTAGGAAAGCAAATAAAGTTTAAACACTGAAAAAAAAAAAAAAAAGACAAGAATCCTGATGTTCCTTTTGACTCTCTAGTTCATAGTCAAATTTATCATCCACTAGGGGGAACCAACAGTTAGCGTAATGGCTATGTCGCTGGATTCCCACATAGTCGATCGTGGTTCGCGTCCTGGACCCGGTGGCTTAAAACTCACGCTGGGTGCGTGTGCGTGCGTGCCCAAGATCCCGAGAGGAGAATGGAGGAGAAGGGATTGCGGTGTGACCATCCCCCCGGGGGGTGATTTCTCGCTTTCTGTCTCTATATCTCCCTCTGTCTGTCTGGCGAGCGCACGCGCCCTATAGCAAAAATCTCTCCAAAAAAAAAAAAAAATTATCATCCACTAGGAACACACAATTAATGGAATATTAAATTATTTCATATTGAACATATAAGAGTTTGAAGAAAATGATTAGTTCACTTTAAAGTGATTTGAATTATAATCCAGTGGCATTATCTTTCTGGAGTAGTTTATTTTTATAGAACTGAGAGCAAAAGAAACCCACAAGCCTTATTTTTAATTTTTCTCTTTAACTGATTTGTGACTGAGTCCTTCGCTTAATCTCTGTTTATCAGTATCCTCATTTGTAGAATATAATTTATGTGAGGACTTCAAAGAGTTTGTGGGAATATGGAATTAAAGTATGAATTATTTTTGGTGTGAAAAAGTTTGAAATCATGCAGTTTCTTCATTATATGCATTTTCATGAACTTTTTGAAGACTTCTCATAGGTCATGACAACTAACTTTCAAGTTATTGTAAAGAACTGATAATTTAATATTTAAATATGTTATTCCATTACCATTTCTATGACCATTATCACTACCTAAGATAAATTGAGGCATTTACTGAAAACTAGAATCTGGTATAGACTTTACATAATTATTAGCATCCTGCAAAATAGTTTTGCAAGTACATTGTTTTGCCTCTCTGTTAATGTGATGTTATTATTTATTTACTTAAGGTATTATATTTTGTAGTTATTGTCTATGATTTTTTTTTTTTGGAATGACTCATTGGATCCTTAACCTTGATATACTCCAGCCGTCCAGATCGCCTTCGAGATATTGCTGACCGTTTCAATGTAGACCACGATGCAGTACTGGACAATGTCCTTTATGCACGTGCATATACTAGTAAGAGCCCGTGCAATTGGATGCTTGGGGTTTGGTGAGATTGGCAGTACTGATTTACTGTTTGAGTGATGCAGCATTTCGACTCTGTTCTCTCTTTGTATTTAGCTTTCTTTAAATTAGTTTAGTCCATCAATTATATCATCTAATATACCCTCAAATTATTTCTTTGCCTTTAAAGTACAGAGTAACATTCTTTTTGGGTAAGGTATTAGGTCACCAGAAAAGTCCTGGTATGTTTTCCTATGCAAAAATGCATCATGACTTTCCTGACTACCAATAGCATCTGGCATATATGCTAAGGCAGAATATACAGTCATACTTAATAAAGTTGTAAATAAGAGAATTCCTCATGGACTCTCTTCTGCTTGGCCTCAAAAACATGTACAGTTGTAGCCCCTGCTTCTTCCAGTTTTGATAACATTTTCTCGCTGCATTTCCCACCAGGTGAACATCAGATGGAGCTGCTTGATTATGTAGCTGCAAAGTTTCATGAAGAAGCTGGCATCTTCAAGCTATTGGTACAGGATTTTAAATAAGGCTAACTCACAGAGCTATTTAGCATATTATTTTCTTGTATTTATTTTTATTCAGATTAACTTCCTTCCATTTCCAAATATGTATTTATTTTTACATTAATCTTCTGCAGATCATTGATTCAATAATGGCACTTTTTCGAGTGGATTTCAGTGGTCGTGGCGAGTTGGCTGAACGGCAGCAAAAATTGGCCCAGATGTTGTCAAGACTCCAAAAAATCTCAGAAGGTAGTTTTTAAAATAAAATGTTACTACCAAAATAGCATCTGTGACTATGTTTTTAAAGTATCCTTTGCAGAGAAACTTGAGATAATGTCTGGAGGCTATACCTTTTTAAAAAATAAAATTACTTCCATAGGAATACAACTCTTTTTTAAAACCGAAAGTATGGATTCTAACTATAATAATAATAACTTTAAATAAACTCGTTTCTGGGCTAGCCCTGTAGCCTAGTGGTTAAAGGAAGATGGATCCCACATGGCTGACCATGGTTTGAATCTCAGCTTGAAGAACACACCAGGAACATATATGTCCATGCCCAGAATCTGAACAGGATGGAGACATAGAAGAGAGGGGATTGTGGCATGACCACATCCCATTGAGGAGTGCTTTCTCCTCTCCCTCTCTCTGTCTCTCTCTGGCAAGTGCACACGCCCTTTGACAATGAAAAAAATGAAAATAAATTAGTTTCTGTTATCAAGGAAAACAATGAGAATGTGATTTTGGTGATAAACTTAATTCATGACACAATATTCCTAAACTCTTAAATCTAAACAATGAACTTTTCATATTTATATTGCCCTTCTTTTCATTTCTTAATTTTATTTCTTGATACAGAATATAATGTAGCTGTTTTTGTGACCAATCAAATGACTGCTGATCCAGGAGCTACTATGACGTAAGCACCAATATTCTTCTTTTGTATTTCAAGGAATTTAAAGTCAAGAGGGTTGGAGTGTAGAATAATAATTTCAAAATAATCTGCCTTGTTGTGGGCACAAATATATCACAAATCACTTTATTGCACAATGTGTATTACTTCAGAGTTGCAAATATCATTTATTATCCAGAACCTATTTTTCTATAGTGCTTTGCAAAAATAAAGCAATCATTTAACTGTATCCAACAATAATGTGGGCTCCTTTTTGGTCTAACACTAAGGGGTAGGACCTTATTGGATGATGATAAGAGAAAGATCCTAGGG